TCATTTCCGCCGATTACAATCTCAACCATCATCGCGTAATGATCGCAACACACACCATCAACCAATTAATCAACACATAAACATCACACCATCAACCAATCAATCAACACATAAGCATCAACAACAACCAAGATACAATAATACACGATGCACACTACACATAAATCCCTAGAACAGTACTCAAAACATCATACGAGACACATAAACATCGAACGGGGTACAACGGGGCATACGGGACACGGGGAAACGACAAACGGGGGAAAACGACACGCCGTGCCACCACGTTCCAGCGGGTGGGTGACGGGTGGAGGACCACCCGTCGGTCACCCGCCGGTGGGCAGTCCACTTTCCAGCGAGTGCCCAACGGGCAGTCGTCTGCCCGTTGGCTGCCCGCTGGAACTAGACAACCCAAGGCAGCGGGTAAGTGGTGGGGACTCGTCCTCCCACCTACCCCCCACTCGTACAAAGGTAGAATTTAGGCTCGGGGTTCGTTCGTGGAACCCAAAACCATGTCCAAACACATTCTGACACACAACAACGATATCACGGATTCAAACAACGAAGACTAGACCAAGAATCATTACCATTACATTCTAGCACGATTCCTAAACATGCCAAGACTCGTCATCAATCACATAACGGTTCAAGAGCATCCGGAACCTCAAGAACATCAAGAAACCTATATGCAAATCCCTAGAGACAAGTCCTAGACTAAAATCAACACCCGAGCATGCATAAACCCACCCAAGAATACCAAGAACATCACAATACGAGATTCACGATATAAACCCTAAGAACAAGCTCTAAACATAATTAAATACGAGATCACATAAGTAATAAATCACAACATCAAGATTATCAAGTAAACACAACATAAACAATCAATTACAAATATCAAGATTATCCAGATTATCGAATAAACATAGCATAAACCCTAAGCAAGGCTCTATAAAGACTCAATCACCGAATCACACATACAATTACCAAAAGAGCCAATAATCAAGATATAGCAAGGAAAATAGGTTTTGTAAGACATGGATTACCTCTTAGCCCTAACCAATATCCTTGGCTACTAAGGTTCTTCTCTAAGGTCCTTCTTCCAATTGATCTTTCTAGACTTGGTGGTGGCGAATTCCCTTGCTAGGTTTCCTGGGGAAAGTCTCGCGTGATAGAATTAGGCGTGGTAGCGTTCTAAACGCTTTCTAGTCCCCTATATATAGATTCAGGAGTCCCAACTATAGTCTGAATAGTAAAGACCCGCTTTCCCTATTCTCAATGGATTAAAGGCTTGATTAAGAATAAGGGTCCATGATCCATTGTGGGCTACACTACTTAATTAATGGGGTTCCAGTCCAATTAAATCCTTCTTAACTATACATTAACAAGATTGATTTCGTAATTAGTCCGGATTCGGATGTCGTAACACGGTGTGCTACAATGATTCTTTCAATTCGTTGTTGGCATTATCTTCATTACTAAACTTCATCAATTTCATCGGTCACCACACTGTCGCACCACTCACCCAAACCTAAAGCTCCAATGTCGACTAAGGTAGCGAGAAAGAGAAACGGCTAGGAGAGGAAATATGAGAGAGAATTGCTAATGGTAGAAGACTAAAACCTAATGGAATTATTATTTTGGAGAAGGAACAAAAGGCTATATATTATTATATTATTATATCAGGATTGGTATTTAATTAGGAAGGCTGTATATATAACTGTGTATAAAGAATATAATAGGAATACAATTAGTAATATACTATTAATAAAATAATTATTAGAGAAAATAAAGGTTATTAAAGTGCAGTAATTAAAGTAATTGATCTTAATAAATCAGAGTAGTGTGTAGTATTTAGGCAAATTAGAGTACAATAATATATTTAGCATAATATAATACAAAGTAAATTTATATTAGTCTAGAAATAATATAAGTAGAGTACTCTTAAAAGATTTTGGGTCTCATAAATAAATAATATATAATTAGGGATCATATAGTAAAAATATTCGGGGTATCACACATGTATTCAAGTCCCTATTATTGTTGTGGTGAGTTTTGATGTGGTTGGACTTGAAATTGTGTATTCTTGGTAAATTCCCGAAGTGGAAAAATTCGCCACAATAGAGGTACCAGCGGGTACTCGGCGGGTGGTCGAACACCCGCCTATGTACCCGCTGGAACAGGGGACAGAACCGGCGGGGAACGGCGCGTGGTCGTCCGCCCGCTGGAATGTGTTGTGCACCCGACCGGGGGGGGGGGTGGTCGTCCACCCGCTGGTACGTGGCGTGCGGTGAGTTGTTGGCCTCCGTTTGGTCGATCCCCGTGTACGTGAATGTCTTCTTTGATATCCCGTAAGTCTAGAACGATGTCCTAAGTATCGTAATAGGATTTGCGAGTCTCGAATCATGTATGTGGTCCAACCTTTCAATTCGTTGGAATAAAGTAAAGTCTATAATGTTCCTTATGAGTTTTATGATTATCTTGATGTCACTTGTCGTCGTGAGCTTGTACGTATGTGTACTTTTTCTTGATTATCCTTTGAATAGGCTATTGTTGAGCCTTAAATGTTATGTTGATATCTATGTATGATGAATGAAATGAGGTTGGCGGTAACGAATTGCGTGCTCAAAATGATTGGCGGTAAATTATGATTATGATTATGTTTATGAAATGTTGGCAGAAAAGCAGGGACGGCATGGCTCCGGAGGGATAAGGTTGGACTGGTGTATAGGGTGGTCTCGGAGGTAAATGTTAGAACTGTTATAAGGATGGCGTGGTGTAAGGTTGGAATGTAGAATAAGGTAGGAACTTGGAACGTTTAATTTGGTTATGGTTTTCTATTCTTGTGTCTTATCGTTGTCTTATCGTGTTAATCCTATTGGTATGTCATGAGTCTGATTGGGTTCATGAGTGTATCCTCAAATGAGTCAATGTCCTGATTTTAAAGTTAGAGTTGTTAAGATTATATCAATGTATTCCCAAGTCTCAAATGATTTTCATATATATATATATATATATATATATATATATATATATATATATATATATATATATATATATATATATATAGGAAAGGGATCAGGTGTATTTGTGGCTTCCCGTGCAGTTATGCGGTTGATTAATGTGCGTGAGTTTTATACTTAATGTGCGTGAGTCTTGTGCTTAATGTGCCTGAGATTTATACTTAATGTGCCTGAGTGTGTAATGTTAATGTGCGTGAGCTTTGTACTTAATGTGCCTGAGTATTGCATATCAAATGAGCCAAAGAAGAAGATTATAGCAAGGAAAATAGGTTTTGTTGAGACATGGGTTACCACTTAGCCTTAATTAGAATCCTTGGCTACCAAGGTTCTTTCTCAAAGATCTCTTCTTCGTGATTTCTCCTACGTTTGGTGATAGGGGAATTCTTGGGAATTCTGGTGTGGTGGAATCTATTGTGGTGTGAATTCTAGGTGCCTCCTATGTCCTTATATATATAGATATATATATATATATATACATATATATATATATAGATATATATATATATACATGTATATATATATATATAGATATATATATATATATATATATGTATATATATATAGATATATATATATATATATATATGTATATATATATATATATGTATATATATATATATACATATATATATGTATATATATACATATATATATATATATATGTATATATATATGTATATGTATATATATATGTATATATATATATATATGTATATATATATATATATATATATATATATATATATATATATATATCTAAGATATATATATATATCTAAGATTCCTAACTGGGGCCTGAATGGTAGGGAATTACTTATTCTATTCCTTATAGGACTAAGAGTTTGATTTAGGGATAAGGGTCCATGGTCCATGGTGGGATCTTTCTTAATTAATTAAGGGAATTCAGTTCTCTTTTAAGGGTAAGCAATTAAATAATTAGTTTGGGTTAGAGGCCGTAACACAGGGTGTTACACAATTGGCTATAATGACCATATGATGGGTTGAGAACCATCAGGTTTTAACCCGGCCGGTTGTAATCGGTTGGCTATACAGGCAGTTAGATGGGTTGAGAACTATCGGCTGTTATATATATATATATATATATATATATATATATATGTATATATATATATATATATATATATATATATATATATATATATATATATATATATATATATATATATATATATAGGGCTGCGGTCCATAATCTGGTTGTGATCAGATATACATAATAATCGGGTTGCGGTCCACCGTTTAATTGCGATCAAACATTATAAATGAGCTACGGTTCATGGATTGGTTGCGATCAATCTCCTTGTGATGTGGTACAAGCAAGGTGCTTCGGGGCCATGTCAGAGCTATATGCGCTGACCCTCATGTATGGGCATGCGATTGGTCCTGCGGCACCACCATATGTGCATACGTGTCTTATTGTTGATTGTGACTGAAATAGTAATTGAGTATTGATATGATTGATATGGAATAGTCTTGTGACCTTAGGATGCATGTTAGAATCGTTATGTGTGTGATTAATTATATTGAATGTGCCTACCCTTGCTTGATTGAGTCTATCCTCGGTTTTAAATTAGAGTTGCATAAGTATATATATATTCCGGCTTCAAAATGATTTTCCTTATATATATCTACCTATATTATACTTAACGCGTTGGAGTGGGTTACCAGTATTATTCGCTGAACAGATATCACTACAAGAAAAATAGTTTTTAACGACAAAAAATTAGTGACGGGTATAAAAACCCCTCACTAAATGTAGTATTTGCATAGTTTTTGTGAGGGTAAAAAACTACTCTAGCTAAAGGTTTATAATTTAGTGACCAAATTTTAATTCTATACTTATTTTAAAAATATACTCTCATTATTGGTATGAAAGATACTATTACTCTCACTATTGATGTTGAAAATTATTTTAATAAAATCAAATTCCCACCAAAATTTTGATATTGGGCGCCTTTCTTGTACATCAAATTTTACAGCCACATCTTCCCCCTCTTCTCTTTCCACCTCTCCTAAATCCCTAAAACATTCATTCTTTTCCTAAGTCGCCAGACCTAGTCATTGCCTCTTCCTTCAAATCGTTGCAACTCGCTCGCCGCCGTTTTCGCCTCCAGCCATCAGGTATTTTCGTTTCTCTGGTTTTATTTTTCATTATTTTTCTCTTCAATCGGATGTGCCAGGTTGATGACGCAAAGAGGGAAATCTAGCTCGCCATCGGCCGCCAAGCTCGAGGACGGCTGCAATGACGTGAACCTCGGTGAACAACATCGGAGAGAGAAGCTTCGACGACCTTGAACAACGGCAAAGAGGACGTGGATGACGGCTTGTGTTCTGTTTGTCTCTCTTATTTCATGCCCTTTCCTTATTCTTGGTGTTTAAATACCCTTCAATTTCTTATACTCTAAATATAACTGCGGATTCCAAAAATCCATTTTTGATTTCCCTTTTAAGATATAAAGGATGATTCTTGTTGTCAATGTATTATGATATTTCTGCACATTTGTTGTTGATTTCAATATTTTTTGGGATAGTTTGGCTTCTATTTGTCCTTAACGAAGGTGCATTTTAAAATACTTGTCATCTTTTATTTATTTTTGTTGTATTTCATTCAAGATGGTTGTTTTTTATTGAGGAAGAAGCTAATTGGTGGCAGTTTTTTGATTGAGGAAGAAGCTTGATCAGGATAGTGTTTTGATCTCATTTTGTTTTCCATATTATTTTTCACATATCAAAATTCTGAAGTTCTGGATCCTAAATATGATGAATCACTGAATACACATACAGAAGTGTCCATGTAAGAAGACTTGGAATATGGTATGTGTTAATCTAATCTCTTAGGCTTCCTCCAACATCCCTCAGTGTAAGTTCATTTGGTCATCATCTTATGCTTCTTTACTATAAATCTAATTGAAGCAGCCCATAGCTAAAAATAGATAATAATCTGATGATGTTTTTAGTGATTCATTTATGCTTCTTCTTTATGATTATATTATGTGTGTCTGTAGTCATTTAGATTATTTGATAATGAAGGTTGACCAGTTCTTGTATATTCTACAAATGCTGGTGTTGCTCTAGCTGGTCTGTTAGGGACTGTTAGAGCGCAGGGTTGACCATTAACTGATTTTGCCAATCAAAAAATAGTTGTGGTTGGAGCCGGAAGGTAGGTTAAAATACAAGTACTAAAATGTATTCCCTTGTTCATATGATCTATGTTTTCAATGGAAGCCTCATGCTACATTTTCTTATTTTGTCCTTCTTTCTCTTGATTCAGTGCAGGGCTTGCTGTTCTGAACATGGCAATGTAGGATGTTTCGAGAATGTCAGGGCCATCAGCAAATCCCCACTTTCTTGTTTTGGATAAGAACGTAATAATCTACTTATATAGCATGTGTTCTATATCTGTAAATGTATTGATGCTTTAAGCTCTTTGCATACTATGAATACTATCTGAAATTTCTTAAACTTCCAAAAGGTAATATTCTTCATTTTGTCATAATGTAAAACATAATTATATAAGTAATCAGAGATTAGTAAAAAGTCAAAGACAACAAATAAAAAAATGAATGTGACAGTATGCCATTTTTGTCATGCTTGCCCATTTTCTTTTTTGATATTTTTTTTCTTCTGTTTATTTGAGAGACTATGGGTGCTGATGCAGGGTCTTATCACAGAAGAGAGGCAGGACCTTGATCCAGCTGTTTTTCCTTTTGCTAAAGCGGCCCAGCATGAGATCAAGAGCATAGGACTTCATGAAGGTGCAAGTCTTGCTGAAGTGGTGAGTTTACTGATAAATTTCACTTGTATTAGATGCCTTGCCTGGCCTATTTCTTTCTTTTTATCTCACTTTTCTTGAAATGTTCTTGAGTATGTTGAGTATTAATATGTATAAAAGAAACACTTGCCATATCATATCATGAACTGTTTATACTTTGTTAGATAGAAGAATATGACTGTTTTTGTTCTACTAAACATAGTGGATTTCAAAAGAAAAAAAAACATAGTGGATATCTCAGTCTCTAAACATGTGACATGTCACATTATTTTATTTTCTAGGGATTTGGAGGCTTTAATCAGCTCAATGTCTTCCAAATATTTTTACCTTCCACCTAATATGTTCAATGTCTTAAGATTATACTAAAACATTTCGGGGTTTTATTGGCAGTTGAAAGACAGTCTTGTGATTTTGAAGCTGGAAGTGATACGATAATTGATAAGCAGGGGTTTGACTGTTTGACTGCACCACTGTTCTTGCAAGACTTGAGGCAAAATTAGTTCAAATGCAAAAGACTTGAGGCAAAATAACCCGTAAATACATTACTATGACTATTTGTTATAATTAGTTTCTTTGTTTTTATATTAGTCTTTACAAACTTGTATGAAACATTTCATTTTGGTATTGATGATAAAGTCTTTTAATATATTGATCGAGTTTATTTTAATTGCATTATAATTTTTACCAATACAATATTTATAGTTACAACATAACATAATATTGATTAGTGAGAAAAAATGTATTACAAAAATTAATATTTAATGAAAAGTAACAATATACACAATATTATAAAAATAATATTTGACACTAAATTATTATTTTTAGTGACGGACAAAATCTAATATAATGAGAAAAAATGTTGTTAGTAAATAGTAATATTAATGATGGGATTTTCCATCACAAAAAGAACGTTTTAGTGACGGTAAATAAACTATCACTATATGTTTATTCTTGATGGTCTCATATCCTGTCACTATTTGTTTTTAACCTCGGAAGAAATAACGACGGGTGGTGACGGTAAATTTCTTGTCATTAAAAGTCTTTTATGATGGTTTTTGATTTTTAGTGACAGTTTTACCTCTCACTAATGATCAATTTTCTTGTAGTGTATATTTGGCTTTCAGGCACAGATGAGTAGCTCCGGAGCGCGCTAGTTGGACCCGTGGACCTAGCTAGATTAGTTCTTTTATCGGCCTGCATGCCTTGATGTTGTACTAGACATTGATTTGAGGATTTCTGTTGTTCGGATAGTTTAGCCTGTGCATCTGAGTTCTCCAGCTCAGATGTGGCATAGCACCCCAACAATTATGTTTAGTTATGCTCTGTTTGGGATTTGATAATAGAATTGCCTTTATTTCATAAGCATTAAAAGTTTTAAAATTTAGGAGTGTTACAGTTGGTATCAGAGCCTATGTTTGACCCTAGGATAAGACTCTTAAGACATGACTTTAGGACATTAAGCTTGAACTCTAGGTATTTAGGTACATAGGATTCAGGAAACTTAAGACACGCAGTGAGATTGTGGGTTTACCTATCATTACATGCCTAACTTCCCCATCACTCTATTCTACACTTAATTTAAGAATCCCCTACGCTTGTCACATCAAGGTAAGGATGCAACCCACTAACTTACCATTACGATAAATGTTGGCCCTGTAGACCATCAGCATGGCGCCAACAAGAAGTCAGTCAAGGTCCCCAAACCCTCCGCTCACGAATATCTAGCTCAGAATCTACAACAACTAACTCATGTCGCCCAAGCACTAAGCGACGCCGTCCTTCGTAACAATAACCGACCACTACCACCAAACGGAAACTCCGATATCGCTCGGCAAGTCTCGAGCCATCGCCCACCCACCTTCTTAGGAGAAGAGGACCCCACGATCCTCGAAGAATGGATCCGAACCTTCGACAAAATCCTCAGGGTAGTAGAATGCCCAGAGAACGCCGCGTAGAGATAGCCTCATTCTACTTCGGACACGAGGCCGACCTTTGGTGGATCCACGAAGGACCTACTTATAGGCAAGAACTGGGGTTTAACTAGGAGAGCCTAAAAGCACGGCTGGGGGAACGGTTCTACCTCGCGCACGTAAGGGCAACCATGTACGAGGAATTTCTCCACCTAAAACAAGGAATGGCCACCGTCATGGAATACCACAAACGATTCCTCGAGCTGGCTCGTTTCGTGCCCGAATTAGTTCTTACGGAGACAACCAAGATAGAGAAGTGTGTGACAAGCCTCAACTTCGAAGCCCGAAAGGCCCTAATCGTAAGCAAACCCCAAACCCTTAACGAAGCCTACACCAGCGCCGCCGACCTCTATCGAATCCAACTTCTACAACGGGGAGTTCAGGAACAGATCCGTAAGAGAAGCACAGGAGGCGGGGCGCCACCTGTAAAGAGGACTAGAAACGACTCTAACGCAAGGACGGGCAACCCAACTAGCCAAGGGCCACCCATGAGAAACAATGAAGCGAATACAAGACCATTCCTTTGCCGAAGATGCAACAAGGACCATAAAGGCAAGGACTGCCTGGGAAACCCCTGGCGGTGCTTCAACTGCGGGGGAGAAGGACACAAGTCCTTCCAGTGCACTCAACCCCCGAACACACGCCCTGCGGTCATGGACCAACAAGGAGGCACAAATAACCAAGGGAGTTACGGTGCCCCCGTAAAGGTATTCGTCATTAGCCACACCCAGGCCGATCTTGAAAACAAAGGCAACATCGACACGGAAAACGTGGCCCTAGGGGACGAGGATCCCGCTAATCAATAAGAGGAAAACCAGGAAGAAGAATTCTGCTTAAGTTGATATGTGAACCCCTGTAAACCACCCCCTTAGTAGAATCGCTTGTTTAGTTTAGTTATTTAGAGATTTTTATGACCTTAAATAAAAGACGAAGTCAATTAAATCAGCTTAAAGTGGAGGACTAAGACCCACGTCCCTCATAATCAACGAGTCTCAAACCCAACACACGGTAAAGGCAAAAGTCCGACAAGGGGATCCGGTCAAGCCACTTGCCACATCGGGTCAAAGGAAGGATAGGAAAACCAAGGCATGAAAGGAATGCAAAAAAAAAAAAAAAAAAAAAAAAAAAAAAGGGGGACTAATACCACCAATGGGAGTACAACCTAAGACTTCTTGCTTACAAGACCAAAGCCTTAACCACTAGGCTATGAGTGTTTCTTGAAATCGCAAGGGAACACTCCCTTCTTAAACCCCTCCAAATCCCTAAAACCCACAAAATCCCCAAATCAAAAACCCTTTTTCTTCTTCCTCCCACACACTCCCTCTCTCTCCTTCTCTCCCCCCCTCGACAGAGATACCGTCGACACCTCCCCAAGAACCCCAACCACTTACCGCCTCACCGCTGTCGACCACCCGGTAGCCAACCGCCCAGCTCCTGCCGAAGACCCGCTGCCACCGCTTCCCGCCGCAACATCGACCAACAAGACAAGAGCTCCACCGCCGCCACAACGCCCGACGCGACGCTGTCCAACAGCTACGGGACTCCACACCACCGCGAGTCAGTGTAACCTCGGCACCCCACCGACGACGCCCTACCACTCCACCCCCGTCGCCCAGCTCGTCGGAAAAAAAAAAAAACCGTCGGAGAAGCCGCCAGAAAAGTCCCAAACCAAACATCAACCCCGAGCGATGCCGAAGAAACCCGTCGGTACCCGAGTCCCGGAATGGAACGATGCCAACTACACACTCATCGGAGGTAAAGCACTCGAACCCGACTAATTCTCTCCGGAGTTGGTCGATATGCTTAGATTCCAAGGCCTTTTGGATACCTATCTCGCAATTAAAGGAGATACGTACCCCGAATTGGTAAAAGAATTCTATTGTCACTTGGTAGCCACCAAACGGGGGGACAAGTTGGAAGTTACCTCCAAGGTCCGGGGCAAGGAAATAGTGCTCTCCGAGGGCCGCTTGGCTAAACTCCTGAAACTGACCACCACGGGTGTGTCGGACTATGACCGGAAGGCATGGGTCAGTACCCAAAACACGGGGTACAAGGATTACCTCGGGTATTTGCTAGAAAAAAAAGATGGCTTCACTTCAGCCACCAGGCCAAACAGGAAGTGGCTAACCGCCGAACAGAAATTGCTAGTCATGATTGTGTCTGACAGCTTGTTGCCCACTAACAACAAGAGCAAGGACATGGGAAGTTTGGAATGCACCTTTGCCTATTTCCTTAAGCATAAGGTCAAGTTCAATTTACCCGGCCTTATGTTGAAACACATGGAGTTCTGTAAATCTAGCAACCGGCTCAGCTTACCCTATGGGACGATCCTAAGTTGGATCATGGAAAGAAAATGGGTGGACCTAAGCCACACGGAAGCCAAGCCCGTGAATGGGATGGTTTTCAATGCCCAGAACCTCCGCCGCAATGACATCTACCATGACGGAGAGGGACAATACATCACCCTCGAGGAGGTTTGCCTGAAACCCACAGAAGAACGACGAATGCTGGTTGACCAGTTGGAAATCTCTAACAAGAAACTGAGACGGGCAATGCAAGAATGTGGAGAACAAGAAGAACAGGAAGAATGCAGCGAACCTAACCCGCCTACACCCGCACAAGAAAGAGGAAACATGGAGGGCCAAGATGAGAGGTCCGTCAATGAGCGCATCCTCGCGCAACTCACCAGGCAGAACCGGATTATGGATGACGGGTTCTCATCCCTAATTCTCGCAACAAACTCACTAGACCGGAGAGTGGCGGCAATCGAGACCATGTTGGGCACGCGCGGGGCGTCTAGCTCGAGACCAGGAAATCAAGGTAGACCCAAACTTTCCAAACACTACTTGCCGTCAACCTAACCAAACTCCGCTCTACCCCCAGCAAACGACACGTGGAGCCGCATTTCCTAAACCAGGAGGTCAAACGCGTGACGTCCAGGGGTGATTGAACGGATCCACGCACAGGCTTCGAGGACGAAGCCTCTTGTAAGGAGGGGAGGGTGTAACACCCCGTGTTACGGCCTCTAACCCAGACTAATTATTTAATTGCTTTCCATTAAAAGAGGTTTAAATTCCCTTAATTAATTAAGAAGGGTCCACCACGGATCATGGACCCTTATCTCTAAACCAAAACCTTAGTCCTATAAGGAATAGAATAAGTGAATCCTTACCTTTCAGACCTTAGTAAGGACTCTTAAATATATATATATAAGGACCTGGGAGGCACCTAGAAATCCCACCACAATAGATTCCACCACACAAGAATTCCCAGGAATTCCCCTATCACTAAATGTAGGAGAAATCACGAAGAGGAGATCTTAGAGAAAGATCCTTAGTAGCCAAGGATTCTAATTAAGGCTAAGAGGCAACTCATGTCTCAACAAAACTTATTTTCCTTGCTATAACTTCTTCATTGGATTCCTTGATATCTGATTCTGTGCTCGAGTCTTGATAAAACCTTGCTTGAGATTTATATTGTGTTTATGAGATGATCTTGAGATTTATGTGTCGATCTTGATGCTTATGTGAAAATCTTGATGTTCTTGATTTTATGATAAATTATATAAATGATCTTATGTTTTAATTATGA